CGACAACGTGCGAGGCGGCCTCCAGTTACAATTGCGAGGTAAAGCAATTTGGGATTCAATTCAACTAATGATCGAAAACGGTATCAAAACTGGTGAAGTTAAGCCTTTGCCGATTACAATATTCGAGAGTGATCAAATTGAAGAAGCTTTCCGTTATATGGCAAGCGGTAAACACTTGGGTAAAGTGTTGATCAAAATGCGGGATGAGAAAACAGAGCCGATCCCACGACCAAAGATATTACCTGCCATTGGTCAAACCTTTTTCCGTCCTGATAAATGTTATATAATTACTGGTGGATTGGGAGGATTAGGGTTAGAGTTGGCTCACTGGATGATCAAAAGATGCGCAACCAAACTCATATTGACATCTAGGCGAGGTCCTCGAGAGCCTTATCAACACCTTATGTTGGACCGACTTCAGAAAGATCAATTTTTCAATACAAAAATAATTGTTTCCAATGAAGACTGTCAGACGATTGAATCAGTTAAACGTTTATTGAAACAAGCTTCTTCTCTTGGTCCAATTGGAGGTATTTTTCATCTAGCAATGGTTCTTAAAGATGCTTTGTTTGAAAATCAAACTATTTCAACTTTCGAAGAAGTTATAACACCTAAAGCATTATCTGGACTATATCTTGATCAAATAACTCGTTCAATGGGACTTGATTTAGATTATTTTGTGTGTTTTTCATCAGTTTCGTCGGGTAAAGGTAATCCTGGTCAATCTAATTATGGATTTGCTAATTCTTCTCTTGAAAGGATTTGTGAAAAACGTCGAGCTGATGGATTGCATGGATTAGCCATACAATGGGGGGCTTTGGGTGATGTAGGTGTTGTTGCTGAGCTGATGGGAGGAAATGATATCAACATTGCGGGAACAAATCCTCAACGGCTTCCCTCAATATTTGAAACACTTGATAAATTCTTGTTAACTTCTAACCCAGTTGTTTCATCAATTGTATTAGCTGACAAACGAAGAGCGGCTAATGCAGGGAAAGAATCATTATTACGAGTGATTTGTCACATTCTTGGTGTTAAAGATCCATCCAAACTTGATCCTGAATCAACCTTAAGTGATTTGGGGCTCGATTCATTGATGGCTGTTGAAATTAAACAAGGTTTAGAACGTGATTATAATCTTGTTTTATCCACTCAAGAAATTCGTAATATTAAGATAAAAGATATACCTGGAATAGAAGAAAGAAAGAAGACAATGATCGAAAATGGAGGTGGAAAAGAAGGGTCAGCTGACGGCAATGAAAATGGATTGACTGATGCTGCTATGTCGTTATCGATTGATCCATTAACCATACCAAATGATATTTTCGTACCTTTAACAATTCGTAATGGCTCTTGTGTACTTTACTTCCCTCCTATTGAAGGAAATTTCATGTCGATTAAACCCGTTCTTGAGTATATTATGAGACCAATAACTGGAGTTAATTGGACAGCTGATTGTATTAAATATGAATCAATTCAACGAGTAGCTGAATATTATGTTAACCAAATACGTGAAAAGTATCCCAATGAGGCACAATTTGATTTGGTTGGTTATTCATTTGGTGGTCTAGTAGCTATGGAAGTAGCCATGCAATTGCAGCAGAAATTTGGTACCCAAAGTGCGAACAGATTAGTTTTACTTGATGCATCTCCTGATCTACTCCAAGCCCGAGCTCGGTCATTGATTAAGCGAGAACAGGTTGTGGATGAGAATGAAGCTCATGTCAACTGGCTCGTTGGATTTTCATCGCTGTTCGTCCCAGTTGAATCAAGTGATAAACTGAAGACACAGTTGTTAAATTTAAAAACGAAACAAGAAAGATGCCAATTCATGTCCGAAATAATCTCAAAAGTATCCGCATTTAAATGTGATGGAGATAAACTTTCCCAGGCAGCTGATCATCATTTCCATAAAATCAAATTGGCTTACTTCTATAAGGTTGAGAAAAAGTTCACTGGTGATTTGGTTCTCATTCGATGCACAGAGCCAGAAGAGGAAGACGCTGAAGAATTTTCAAATCCAGATTATAATTTATCCAAGGTAAATATTACTAAACAATACTAATAGGTTATTAGGGAATAATTACAGTACAAAATAAATCCCAATTTTTTGTCAACGGCTTTAAAACAGCAAAAGTGTCTCCCCCTTGTTGTTGGATTAAGATTTTAGGAAAACCGTTAAACCGATAAATTCAAAATTCTTTGTTTTTGACAAACCTAATTCATTGTTAATTAACATCTTTTCATTGTTTCCGCGATAAAATCTAATTTATTTTTTTCTCTATTTCAGTATGTTAATGGTAAAGTAACAGCATATCGAGTCCAAGGAAACCACAAATCATTCCTAAGTGAATACTGTGAACAAGTTGGATCCTACCTTGATTCATCTCTCAACTATCTAACCTTTGCTTGATTTCCTTGATAAACCATTTTAAATTGTGAACTAATTTACATAATTATATTATCTATTTCTTAAGGTAAGCATTTATGTATACAAGTAATAACCAAATTATCAATTCTTGCATTTGTTACCGTTTTTCTTGTAAACACTCATGTAACTTGAATTTTGTTGTTTCTCATCTTTTCTTGCAATAATCTTATAAAATTACATTGAAAAAACTGAAAAGTTAAAAATTATATTCACACTTATGTTTCAAAACGATTAAACTGTTGAAAGAAATTACAAGTAAATTTGAATTATCACAAAATCACATCGATGAATAGTTTAAAAAGTGTAACATGAATTGAGAGAAGCAAAAAGTGATGCCAGCTAATAATAATAATAAAACTAGCAATTGAATAAGATTAAGGATTGGTTTAATCTGTTATTGTATTTCAAGTTATTATTTATGTTTATCGTTGTGTGACTTTATTGTAACACTTAAGAATCAATAGTTAAGGTATCAATAGTCGAGTCGCGTTCGTATATAGTCTAACCATATTTCTCACCTATTATAATAAATATAACTTTACTTCCCACTTGACCTGGTAACAATGGATTAGACCAAAGTTTACAAAAGAGGCTCACTACCTTTGCTTTCCTCTTCACCTTCCTCCATCTTTCCCTCTTTAACCTTCTTCTTCTTCCTCCTCAACAACTTGGCCATCATAACCATCGTTTTAAATCTTAAAATCTTGTATTTTAAAGTCTATTATGCCAAGTAAACTTGAAAAATTTCAATATTTTTCACCCAACTTGGCAGCTTTACAAATCCATCCTAAATAACCATTTCAACCGTTTTCCTATTTTGTATCAACTCTCAATTGTTAATCTTCATCATCCCAATGATTATCATTATAATTATTCTCATTTAATCATCTTATATTGATTTTGATGAAAGAAGATGTTTGTTTTCAATGAAATTGGTTAACCGCAAGCGTTTATGATAAATATTAAGGTAAGCTTTTCAAAGTGTTTTTCAAGTGGATTTAAGTTTGGCCACTTTAAACAGATATTAATATTGAATTGTTGACTTATCAATGTAAAATTGTTGAATAGTAAATGTTATTTGTTGATAAATTGTCTCGACATGATACTTTACAGCAAATTATCATAACAATAAGAGTAAAATCAACACAAAAGTATTGTTATTGAAAAGACACCCAAAGGAGCATCATTTTGATGGTTAAACCTAAAGGATCATCTTCATCTGTTTACTGGTTAACAATGTATTTAGAGTTAACCATTTCTCCTGGTTAATGGTATCATTGATATCATTTCAATTACAAATGATCATTGATCAAGTATCCGGTCATTTTAGGTGTAGATTGATGCGTTTGAGGAAAAAAAAGTTTACATTAAAATTTTATAAATTGATTTATTTTCCTCCCAATCGTTAGCATAAATCATCGGGAAAATGGTCAACAATGAGCGACCATTAGAAGCATAACGATTAAAAGTCGAAAGGTTTTTCAATGAAACCAACATTGAATGTGAAAAAATTGATATTTGCTGAAAATCATCTTACATTAATCTGCATTTAATTAGATTTGATGATTGTAAAAATTCTGATCCTCTAAGTTGATAAAAATGGTAACCAATATTGAAAGGAAATAATGATAATAATGGGTTGAATAGAGAGTGAATAAGTTGGTTTTGTCAATCAATTAAATTATAGCTGATTGAATCTAAAAGTTAAAGGCATTTTGATTCAATGGTCTTTGTTAACAATCAAATTAACCGACCAAACAAACCAAAAGTGACATTAACGCATCAACATTATCATGATTAACTGACAATTTTAATGTTTTTAGGTCGAAATTCGTGTTTAAAAACAATCATAAAAACTGAAATACTTAAATTATTAGAGACAATTTAGCAAAATTGAAAAAGGCGCTTCTTGAGTGGCTACTTGGCGCTCACTTTTGTTGCTTAACATATGATTTATGCAAGTCACAATGAAAATTATTCAACTTGTTCATCGTAATTATTTTAATCAATTAATTTTGATAATTCAGCTATTCTGTTACTCATAATCTGTAAGTAAGTAATTGTTTCTTCCTTTAATTCCCTAATCTAATCAAAAAACCTTTTGTCTCCAAGTTAGCAAGTGATGGAGTTGGCGTTTAAGGATGGTTTCCTTTACTGTTTTCATTGGATTTGGTCAGAAGATCTTTTAACCCAAAAATGCTACAAGTACGATTAACAATTTGGTTGGAGATACATTGATGTGAATCACTATCGGGGAGAAACATTTGAATTATCTACTCGGAAAGCTGATCAATCTCCTATGTTTCTGGTTATAGATGACATTGGACCTGTTTGCATGTCGATGGCGTAAGTAATAGCCTTATAGCCATTGATCTGTTACACGATTAGCTGTTATTATAACAATATAACAATGTTTATATCACAAAATCTGGTTTCTCTTTTTGGGTAACTTCAGATTAAAAGTGGATTATTTTTGTAACTCCTATTGGGTGCTCTATTCCGTTTCTCATTGGTCTCTTTCTAATGGATAAAGTCGATCATAAAATGGATTTATTTGTTCATCATCTTTCTTTTAATTTTCCTTCACAATTTATTCTTTCGTTCTTTTTTTCTTTCCTTCCTTCGCCCCTTCTTTCTCCTTCTCTCTTCCTCCTCATTCATCCATCCTCCCACCCTGCCTCATCTAGCCTCTAACACTTTATGGTCTACTTGCTACATTTACTTGTATTATTTGACTGAGGGTAAATATAAATGAATCATTCTTCTCCTTTTTACTTTCTTTTCTTATTATTGTCATCATCATCATCATTTTCATCCTCATTGTTGAAGTTACAGTATCATAACAATGCAAACAGTCATCATCATTATCATCATCCTTCATATTCTCGCTCCTTTCTCTTGCCTTTCCATTCTAATTCATTTACCAGTTTTTCCAACTCGTGGTATATTCACGTTTCACATGCTTTTACGCCTAAAAATATTCATTTTCTCATCATCTTTCATCCTTTTCTTCTTCCTCCTTATTCATCATTATCTTCGTCTTTTCATCATCTATCTGTTTCTATACAGCAATATATTCCCTCTCTCGATCATCCATTTTCCCTGGTTCTTAACATTTTTAATTTCATTCCCTTGAATATTATTTGCCTTTTTAATTTTACTCAATATTTATTTTTAATTGCTTCTGTTCCTTCCACATTCATTCATAACATTAACTCCCCATTTAGTACATTAAGAATAAGTTTATTATGCAAAATTAACTAACAATGAGTAAATCAAGATTATACTCAACATTTATAGTTTGATTTATGGGCGATCATTTGAACTTTCAATTCTTAAATGAAATGAAAATCATTGAATTATAGTTTCTTCATCGCTTATTACCGTTTATATATGACCTTTTCAAATTGGACAATTGATATAACTAAATACTAAGCTTAATCAATTATTCATGGCTGTCAATAGTCAAGTTTAAGTCAGGTCAAAAGTCAGGTAATAATTGAATATAGAGACTATTAAATAAATTGTTCGTTAACAACTATTGATATGATGATTTGAAAAGCGAATCAAATTGAATAAAAATAATAATTGTCACCATTTTTTTATTACAGATTCCAATTGGATGTCATTTTATCGCCAGTTTTTAATACTTCCTGAAGTTTGTTATGGGACAAGAAGCGCAAAAAAAGTATAAAGTAAACATTTTAACTGTTCAACAACAATCGCATTTCCAGTTTTATTTCAATGCAAGTTTCATTCATTTTTATCACCTCACCAGACTATATCAATGTTTTTTAAACTTCAGTGAAACGTTAACCTCAAATTCATTGTCATTTATTTACCTTTACTTGAAAAACAGTCAATATCAATGAGCTAGCAAAAGTGTTAAAGAAAGCAGTGAATGATATGAATGAGACAAAGGATAAGACGAACGTTTGACAAGGTATTTAGTCCATTGTATTGACCCAAGAAAAGGTTAAACCTTCAAAAGTGTAAAGTGTTAAAGATAAAAGTTTAAGATGAAAAGAACCTAAACCTAAAAGAAGAAGAAGAGGAAGAAGAAAGAGGAAGATGAAGATGAAGATGGCGAAAGTGAGATAATCCCGCCTTTTCTTTAATTAAACTCATTAAAGCGTAAGAAATAAGCCTTTGAATGTTGGAATCTTAAAGAGACCCGAAAATGATTGTAAGGCTTGTGAATGGGCTGAAAGAAGGTGTGGATCAGTGGTCGGTCATCTCCACCAAATAATGGTTATTGTGTATTACTGTGACTCTCAAGTAGCAGGTCACTTGAAAAGGCTACTTAAATCATGTAAAAACACTCAAAACTCAAGAGAACCGTTGATTCAATTGATTATTCAAATGGTTGTTGAATTCATTTTAAAATTTTAGTTGATTTATTTCGAGAAACTTGACTCTTAACATGTTGACAAGTTTTTTTTACATTGATTGTGTAAATTGACATTGGCAAAATTAAAAATGATGAAAAAATAGATTGACAAAAAATAACATTTCATATTGTTTGATATACATTTTGTGGCCTTAAACAGTTTGGTAAAAACTGATTTTGACCTTTTAGGTTTTTTTGGTATCATATAACTTATGATTCAATTGATTTTTTAATTTATTTGTTTGGTTGTATTGTGAAAAATATTAATTTATATTTGGTTCCTTTCTTTATGTACATAGATGATAAATTGTGTTGATTTGATTGGCCATTTATTATAAAGGTGTTATCCATGGATTATAATTGAATGGAAACTGTAATTGGTTCAATTGGATTGGAATCGGGATTGACATTGGTCCACATCTTTGATGGGTTTTAATATGCTTTTTAAGATGATCTTTACGACCAAATCTCTTTGAACATATTGAACAAGAGAAAGGCCTTAATCCACTGTGAATACGTTTATGTCGAGTCAACTCTTCATTTCTAGTAAACGTTTTGCCACAATTTTCATGATCACAAGCAAATGGACGTTCACCTGTTAATAAAAAGAGATAAAGATGCAAATCAATTAATTACTTAAATTCAAAGTGATTTAATGTTGTTCAAGGTGTTGCATGTCGAGAGTTCAACCGTCACTTCACATTAATTTCAATCTAGTTGACAACAATGATGTACCGCTTACGTGCTTACGCTCAAAACTAAGAATCATGATCAACATCGATGAACTTAATCTTAAACAAGTAAATAATTTCTAACATTTTTTATTCAATCAATTTGTAATTGATTAACGTGATCGCATTGGTAAAAAACTATCAACAAAATGCACAGAAAGCTTTGAAATTAACGGAACAAGAAATTGAATTTACTCGGATTTCAAGCGTTTGTCGGATTGCTAGAGAACTAAAAGGCAAGTGCTTCAGAAACTGTATTGAATGGCAATTCATGATCAAGTAAAGATCAATGAATTAAAATTGGCTGCCATTGATTTGCTCACAACATCACTATAATAAAGGTTTTTGTGCGGCAAACTCATTGAATAACGGAGTTTAATTCTTATCATTCAAATTGACTGTCATGACTTTTGATGAATTTAAATTTACTGTACTAACCTGTATGAATCCTTATGTGTCCTTTGAGTTGTCCGTTATTTGAAAATGAAACTTGACAATGTGGACATTTAAACCTCTTTGGTCGTTGCTTTTTTTGCTGCATAATTGTAGCTGATGAAGATGCATTTTGATGTTGATGATATTGATGTGGAGTAAACACATTTAAACAATTATAATATAGTTGATTCAATTGTGAGCAACATGGTGATGTTGATGATGGAGATGGCGATGACAGTGAAGACGAAGAAGACAAGGTTAATGGTTGAAATGATGAAGTCGATGAGTTTGACGAGGTTGATGAAGATGAAGATTGATCCCAGGGTCTAAAAATTTGTGCATGAACATCAACAACTGACATTGTGTAAAAAGACAGGGGAAAAAGGATTATCAAAAATATTGAAATTGAATGTAAAAAATATAAATACTTGGTCCGAACACTTGAAAGTAAATGAAAATGGAAAAGTAAATACATTTTTGGGTTCCTTTTCACAAAGGTTTGGCCTATTTGAGCCTCACGAGTTACAAGGAGGAGCTACAAAGATCCTATAGCTAATAATAATATGATGATGAGGAGGATAAAGATGAGGATGGGGACCGAGATGACGGAGCACGACACTCACGTTTTCACAAATAAAAAGGCCTAACCATTGTATCAAATATAACTTTGGTTCCCACTTGACTTGACAACAATGGATTATCCTTAACGATGAAAACGCCAACCAAAAATTTACATTCCTATTTGCTTCATCATCTCCATTATCAGATGAACATTGTCTTCACCCAATGCATTAACCAAAAACAGCGACTTTCCAGGTCCACCAAATAGCCTTAAATGTCACCTAATTTTTAAATGTTCAAGATGATTCAGTTTACTTTATTCAATGATCTAATTGTTGATTTGGATCACTTGTCAACATCCATCAATTTTCACCTTATTTTTTATCTTCACATTGGGTCAGGTTAGGTTAGGTTACATTGGACATGAAATTATGGACGGAAACTGATTACTATTTACTCACATATCAATATGTTTGTCCTAAATTGATTGTTAACAAATTGATTTATGACCTTCAACAAGGTAATCAACTAACTATAGAATTTACCTATTCAATGAGCAAGAAAAATCTGTTTTACGTATCAATGTTATAAAGTAACTAGGATGAACACTTGAACATCTTAAGGAGTGTTTCTTATCGATGATTTATTCCAATTTTTTCTTATTGCTTCTTCATCACCTTATCGTTCCTTTTTCAACCATTTCAATTGTGATTTTGTACAGTTTTAATTTGTAATACTCAATTGTTGAAAACTCAGTTTAAAATACAATAAAGGGAAAAATTTGTACATTTTCATCCAATTTTTGCTCATTGATTTATTGACTCAATCTTGCTAAAGCTTTTTCATATTTTATCATCACATTTTTGGCCCAATTATTGGCAATTTGTTAAGCTCGACATCATTTAATAAACCAGACAACAATTAACAAATCTTGGATGACCATCAATAATCAAACGATTTATTGATTTAAACAAAACCCAAGACAAGCAAGACAATGTTATAATTTATTAGGATCATTGGATCCAGATCCCGATGAACAAGTGGCCACACAATCAAGCTAATCACGATTATGATCAAATACACCACCAATATAAAACTGATGATCTGACACACCATTAACATTTGACTCAACATTTAAGCGATCTCTACCAAAGATCGCGGATCCTATCAACCTAAATGGCTTGTACGGCCACCCGACTTTTTTGATGGTCCTCCTCTGTGGCGCTTATTGTGGTCTTACGGCACAAAATCGACTATTATTGAACTGTCAGAGACCAAAAAAGACTATATGTAAGTATTATAACTTATTATAATATTTATGTTCATACTAAAGTATTTTTATCTAATTTCAGTCCGAACATGGCGATGATTTCTTCACAATAATTTATTATTCAACACATTCAACTGTAAGCGACTAAAAGAAGTCTCTCATGTTTAGATTTGTTGGAATTACAACAAAGATAACTATTTCAATTACTAAATCGATTGATTTCAATCCGAGATGGCACCTTGGACAAAAATGATGGAAATGTCAGTGTGAAACAAACTACACCAATAGTAACCTGAATACACTTCCTGACCACGTATTATCATCTAATGCATCGGTTCTTTGTGTTGCATGCTACATTGGCTTCCAGAACTTTGAAAATTATGAAAAACACATAACTTTGTTGTTGTTGTTGTAACTGTTGTTGAACGCCAAACAAAAAATTATAAAAATGCTCGCTCAGCTTGTGGAAGACGCCTTAATTACATCAATTTCCTATACATTATTTAATCCCAATAAAAATTGACTATTTCCTTAATCTTTCATTGTAAATGTATTCATCTCAACTTCAGCATACATTGAGTATTGAGACCATGTACAAAACATTTGGATTTGAAACCAATTATTTTATTGACATTATTGATATTATAAATTTGAAATAATCAGAAGAGGTCAACTGGTAAAACCAAGTCAAATCAACCTTACTGTGACTTGATTTTGGTATCTTACTCTGAAAATCAACCTCAAACCAATGGACAATGGTCAATGACACTCATCAAACTGTTACATTTTAACTGTAATATGACTTCTCATCTCAAGTTTTGGTTGAATAAAACCTTGTAAATCTCTGGTTGACATTTTGATCTTATTAAAGCCATCTTTTGATATACTTGGTGAATTTGATCAAGATTAACAATCGAAAAATGGATTCCTCACTCAAAAGAGTATCATTGGAATTGTATTGAATGGTGAATCTAAAATGAAAATTAGCTTTCCCGTTAAAGTAACTGAAAATATTTTCTGATTGGTTCATTGAAACAGACCTTATAATATAAATCTTTTCTAATGCTCCTTCCTTTCACCCTGTTTTAGCCTTTTACACTCTGGGCTTTTGGTTAAATTATTTGATAGCCTTGGGTAATCATCAATGAATCATTCTCTATACACAATGTTACTTTCACTCTATTTTCACTGCACATCTCAGCATCATCATCATCTCCCTTTTCATCACCAGTGTTGTTATTGATCCAATCTTATAACACAAACAGTCATCATAACAATCATTATCATCATCATCATTCTTCATATTCTCGCTCCTTTCTCTTGCCTTTCCATTCTAATTCATTTACCAGTTTCCAACTCGTGGTAGATTCACGTTTCACATGCTTTTACGCCTAAAAATATCATTCATCCTCTATCATCGCCTTTCATCTCCACTCTTCTTCTCCTCCTTTTTCACCAATCATCATTTTCCCTCTTCATCACTTTCTTTGTCTAGTCAGTGAAAAATAAACTGTAAAAATTGCTTTTCCTCTCAAGTTATTGGCTCAATCAAGACACTGGATGTCATGGACAAGCAATTTAAGGTCTACAAGCAATCTGATTATTGCAATCAGAAGTGAATTCACCTCTTGAAATTCATCTTTCCATTTAGTAGTCGCTAAGATAATTGTAACCTCAGATGAGCATCAAGTATTGTCACGGAGAATCAGTCTTTAAATTGCTAATAAAGACAGAATTGATTCGCCGTATCTTTCATACTACTGGTGACAATCATTTGAATAGTACAAATAATAATGATGAGTTGTTCAACAATGCGATTCGATTTGGCTTATAAATAACAAATGCAGTTGTCACCTTCATTTCATACCTTAACAATCACAATCCATCTCATCTCGTTTAGTATGAATAACTAAATAAGTGATGGCAGTAGTTAATAACAGCTAGTTAAAGCATGTAAAATCAAAGACGAATTGTTATGTTCACAGCTGATTTCGTGTGATAGTTCAAATGTTAACAATCTTCAGTATTGCATTCACATTTCAATCATCTCAATAGAAGGTTTTAACGAAGGAATTAATTTCTATTTGATCAGAGTCTATATTAATAATGAAAAGAAAACTGAAATCGTATTAAAGTAATAATTGATTGATGTTTGCCTCGTAAGCTATTTAATGTATCAACCAGACCATAATGTGTTAGAGGCTAGCTGAGGGTGGGATGAAGGAGGGTGATCAGGATAAAAGGGATGAAAGATACAATGTAAATCCAGTTTACAAACCAATAGGAAGATGAAATCAATGATCTGAGGAGGAGTTAATATCGAGCTAATTCAGATTATTCAATTTTTCTCATTAACTTTACCTGCAAATGTCAATCAACAGTTGAAATGCTAAACCTTAAACGTTTAAATCTAATGTTTTAATCCAAAAATTGATGGCACAATGAAGTGTGCGAACAATTAAACTTGACTTAACTCGGGATTGTTGAAGTGTTATACATTGTATAAAAAATGTATTTGTTTTGAAGATTGGGACTTTAAGATGGTTGGAGAGTTTTTAGATGTTGAACAAACAATTTGATGTAATAGACTTTAATCCACTGTTTCGCTGGTAATGATGATGGTGATGATGAAGGAGGGAAGAGGATGAAAAAAGGAGGGAGAGAGGAAGGTGAAGAGGATAAAGAGGGTAGAAGAAGCGTCTTTTTCAATGTAACTTTTGTAAAGTTAACTTTATCCTTCGACATAATCCATTGTTATCAGGTCAAGTGGGAACCAAAGTTATATTTATTACAATGTGAAAAATATGGTTAGACCTTTTTAACTTGTGAGTAACAAAAAATTGCGAGTGCCAAAGTATTAATACCACTTTAAAAGTAACACTGGTTGAGTGTTACATTTGAAAAGTGTCGCATTTGAATTGTCACAGAACGTTAAACATAAAGAATAAGCAATATCCTTTTCAAGTGATATCATTGTATTCACTTTTATACAACAATAATATATCAAATCGATTCTTATTCTTCTTCTTTCTTCGCCTTCTTTTCGTTTGCTTTTTTCTTCCAGTCTTCTTGTCCTCATCATCACTCTTTGATTGAACCATTTTAATAGTAACTCCTATGTGATAATTGTCACTACATTTACATGATTACATAGGCTTCCAATACAATTCAGTCAAAAAGGCAAACTGTTGACAAAAAGGAAAAGGAAATTTTTCTCATTAATTTCTTTCAACAATTTTAGGTAGATACTCACCGGTCAATAGAGTAGTAGATACCAGAATTAATGCCCAACATTTCATTATTTAAACAGTTCTTGAGTTGGTTAAAATTAATATCCAATGTTCATGATTGTTTCCTTCACTAATGTAAACTAAAAATATTCAGATTTGTTGAGGATCGAGTTTAAATGTTGATAATGAGTATACTGATACCAATACTGGATACTGTTATCTAGTTGACTAAAAGATACAACTCGAATCTATCAATGATAATTGATCCGATTAACTTCCATTTTTAACGGTTTTTTGCTTTTAATGACAAATTATGGCAACGGATGAATTAATAATTACCTAATGATTTTTTAATCGTTTAATATTGTAAAACCTTTCCTAGTAAATGTTTGATGATGTGTTTTGGAAACGATTCAAAAGGAAAAATATCTTCTGACTTACCTTATTTGCTCTTCGTTTTTTTGCTGACTCAAATCAACTGCCAAGAAGTCGATTCAAATGGCTAATGGACATGGTAATAAAATGGAGCATTCTGGTTGGATTCATCTGATTTTATCGTTCTTACTTGGTGTAATAAGTAAATGTGCGGCTAAATTTGAACTCGATTGAAAGATATATTTCAACTCTGGACTCTATTGGTTGAATGTGGAATCTAAGTTTATATTTGGCGATTCATCATTTCAAAGTGAGAGTATATTATTGTCAGTATAATCCGGAGATATTCAAACGCTGTTCTTTTTTTTCTGGTCAATCCATAAATAGATAAGTTGAAAATGAAAACCTTTTGTGTTGAATGGACTTTCCTATGGACTTTATGCTCAACCCACTTTGACGCTTCCCAACTTATCCAGACAATATCAACACTTTGAATAGTCTAACTTTTCACTTTATCATTTTCAAGAATCTGAATTGTTTGTAATTCCTGTTGTAATGAGTTACTTTTGAAAGTTAAATCATAAAAGAAAGGTGCTAATGGAACATGTTATTGAATTTTATCAACAATACCATCAGCTACTGTTACAGAAGAAGAAAAACACTTTTCTTCTTACCTCAAGATAAAAGTTACTTTCTTCCGGATTCACAATGGTTTTACTTTCTTTTTACCTTCTTCACCATGGAGCAAAGTTTCAAGTATTTGTCCAAACAATATGGAAAGCTCATCAATCACCAACAATCAGAATCAGTTTCACTTAACAATGAGCATAAACAAAACAATGGACAGGAGCGAAGAAAATATTTTTTCTTGGTTTACTCATTGACAAAATAACTTTGTCAACAAAAATCTTTAACTTTTAACAAATAACCTTTTATATTGATTAACAATCACGTCTTCATCTATACCTTTCCTTACCCATCTCAACCTTCACATCGCTGGTATGTCAAGTAAATAATTCATCCATTTATAAAATATTAGCGACAACAATTTATTCACTTTTTTTTCTTTCTCTTGCAGTAAAGTCATTGTTGCCCAGTGCGAGTTGATGAGTTCAATCGGATTCAAAAGCCAGGCCAAAAGCTGGACCATATTAAAGACGAATCGCCTAATCCTGTTGTTAATAATTAGAGACGCTTGTTTTGTTCCTATTAATCAAGTATGAATGACAAAATAGTATGATTTACATTTGATAAATTAATCCAAAATGCAAGTCAAACTGAATACCCTTTAGCCATGCCACTCAACCTAAGTTAGGTAAGGTTAAAGTTGACAAGTCAATTGATGTCAAAGTACATTTAAAGCCATATCAAATTAATAAGCTTAGTTCGTGAACATATTTTCAAATAACAATTGAGGTTATCTAATTGAGAGCCAAAGAAAGATTAAAATCTTGTTAGCTAAAGAGAAATGGCAAAAGAGAAGAAATAAAATGTCAATTGATAGGAAGGTCAGGTAAGAAGGAAAGTTGAAATGGTGATGCCAATGATGACGATGATGAGGACGGTAAAAAAAGAGGAAGATATCGAGTCGCTTTCTTACCTTTTTTGCGCTTCTTTTTCTTACCTTTTCAATGGTACATTTCAATGGATTTGTGAATTGTTTTGTTGTAAGTTAGCGCCTTTCTCAATGATATCTTTTTGTAAACTTTGGTCTAATCCATTGTTACCAGGTCAAGTGGGAAGTAAAGTTATATTTATTATAATAGGTGAGAAATATGGTTAGACTATATACGAACGCGACTCGACTATTGATACCTTAACTATTGATTCTTAAGTGTTACAATAAAGTCACACAACGTTAAACATAAATAATAACTTGAAATACAATAAAGTGAAAAAACCTTGAATTGAGTTTTTCTTTTCTTTTTTCTTCTTCTAGCTCTCAACATATTTTTACCTTGATTTGCACACCTTTGGATATGGATGCTTTTATTAACTTACATTCAGCCAATTTGTCGTCCCCACATCAGTTTAATCATTAAGAATCAATTGGAAGTGTTGAAATTGATGATGAAAATGACGGAAAATGGCAAAAAAGGAAAAAAATCAACAATCAAAATTCAAGATTCTCAGAATCAAACATTGATATCAAAATGGAATTGAAATTTGTTCATTTTTCATCTCAACAGTTTTCACCTTTTTTCACCTTATTATTGGACCATTTAAACTCCTCCTTTCGCCCTTGTGGGATTGACTCGGGCCAACCTAGAGGAACCCAAATTTACTTGAGTTCACTCGCTGTTAACTGTTTCTCAATTTACTTTGCAATTTCAACCTTTCCTGACAATGTCACTCTTTGATGGGCAAATCTTTAGGCCTTGGGATCAATCATCTTCACCATCATCATCACCTTCCACCTCGTCATCATGTTGTTCCCAATTAAATCAATTGTTTTGTTATAATTCTGTGTTTAACTTTCCTTCCTTGCCAAATAACGAGCAAAAAAAGCAGCGACCAAAAAGGTTTAAATGTGTCCATTGTGATGTTTCATTTTCAAATAATGGCCAGCTTAAAGGGCACATTAGGATTCATACAGGTAATTATCAATTATATAATTTTTCACTCCTTTTAATCGATTGATCAGCCTTTTCATTGAACAATTGTTGACGTTTTAAATGATTAGTCTAAATGGTTTTACCAAAGTGTTTATATTAAAAGATTATGAAAAGTGTTTTCAAGTGGATTTAAGCAGATTTAACATTAATATTGGTTGTTGACTTTTTCAATGTAAAAATGGTAAATGTTATTTGTTGATAAATTGTGTCGACATGATACTTTGAAAGCAAATTATCATAACAATAAGAGCAAAAATAAGCGTCAAAATGACCTGAACTGTTAAACAAATTTACGTCCTTTAGTTGAACACAAAGCAAAGTTAAAACACTCGAGGAAATCAAAATATGAAAGTGTTTTCTCACTTTGTGTAACATAGCAAAATGATAAATTAATATTAATACATAAGAAATGGATTAATTACCGGATTTACCAAGATTAGTCTCAACTCAAGTCATTGAAATATGAGAAGTAAAACAATTTGAACTGCCATCTGATATCAACTCCTCCTTTCATTGATTTCAAACTTCCATTGGTTTCCATCTTTCATCCCTTTTATCCTGATCAACCTCCTTCATCCCACCCTTAGCTAGCCTCTAACACATTATGGTCTGGTTGATACATTAAATAGCTTACGAGGCAAACATCAATCAATCATTGTTGTAATACAATTTCAGATTTATTTCATTAAGCCTAAATTGTATTATATTTCAACGCAAACCATTCAATGTTTCATTAAAATTATCGCAAGCTTCAATTTTGCTGTAAGATTTTCAAATCCTCAGAGCTTCAATTTTAATGTTTGATTAATGTTTTAATTTACTCACAGAGTTAGTATATCAGTGTGTATCAGTTAACATCGCTGAAAGCTGAGCGTCTATTTCAATCACTCAGTCGATCTCATTTGTCATTCATCCTTCAATATCAATTGCTATTTACCTTTGTTAACTTTGAAAGGCTATGATGAAAGATAGCCGAGACAAAGGATAAGACGAACGTTTGACAAGGTATTTAGTCCATTGTATTGACCCACAAAAAGGTTAAACCTTGAAAAGTGTAAAGTGTTAAAGATAAAAGTTTAAGATGAAAAGAACCTAAAAGAAGAAGAGGAAGAAGAAAGAGGAAGAAAGAGTAAGATGAAGATGAAGATGGCGAAAGTGAGATAATCCCGCCTTTTCTTTAATTAAACTCATTAAAGCGTAAGAAATAAGCCTTTGAATGTTGGAATCTTAAAGAGACCCGAAAATGATTGTAAGGCTTGTGAATGGGCTGAAAGAAGGTGTGGATCAGTGGTTGGTCATCTTTACCAAATAATGGTTATTGTGTATTACTGTGACTCTCAAGTAGCTAAGGTCACTTGAAAAGGCTACTTAAACCATGTTATCTTACAATTTCTTGAAGTGTCGCTTTCAAGTAAACAGTAAATAATGTGTGAAAAGTATCGCTTTTTTGTCAATTGTTCATCACACCATATTGTAATAACATTGTCAATGAAACACTTTGAAGAGCATTAAATCACTTTGAATTTAAGTAATTAATTGATTTGCATTTTTATCTCTTTTTATTAACAGGTGAACGTCCATTTGCTTGTGATCATGAAAATTGTGGCAAAACGTTTACTAGAAATGAAGAGTTGACTCGACATAAACGTATTCACAGTGGATTAAGGCCTTTCTCTTGTTCAATTTGTTCAAAGAGATTTGGTCGTAAAGATCATCTTAAAAAGCATATTAAAACCCATCAAAGATGTGGACCAATGTCAATCCCGATTCCAATCCAACTGAACCAATTACAGTTTCCATTCAATTATAATCCATGGATAACACCTTTGTAATAAATGGCCAATCAAATCAACACAATTTATCATCTATGTACATAAAGAAGCCACAAATTAAAATTCAAATCAAATGTATCTTTACATTGAGACGTAATGCTCAACAATTAAAAGCATTGATTGAGAACAAAAAATGCAATTATCATTGAAATTGGCCTCAAAATTCTTGAACTATGAGACTAGCTACATGGAAATAGCTGGTGACTGATTATGGAGTTGTTTGAATATAATAGTCAGAATTGCTACTAAATTCATTGTTAACGAACATTGTATCTATTAGCAAATGTCCATTCAATCGTGATTGTCAAGAATACAAAAACGTTGTTCAACACTTTGGCATATTCGCAAGTTCATGATTGAATACTTATCTGTTGATTACCATTACCTCAGTCTAAATCTGAACAAACATGACACTTTTTAATATTAACCTTGATAGATTCTAGGAATTGAATCAATATTTTCCATGAACCAGAACAGATCAAAACACTGAAATCAATTGCAATTTAATTCACCAATCTTGTTTGGATCAAACAAAGTTCAACCTGAACTCTTTAGTGATTGCTATGGCTTACATTAAGCAGTTGATTTGTATTTATCCCGTTATTAACAAGTAAATTAACAAGAATAACTATAAAATACAATGATATGTTAATGAAATATTTATAGCTGTTAATTTATATGATAAAACTCACAATTCTATAAATATAATAGTTTCCATTTTTCAATTTCACTCGCATAAAAGTTAACTTGATATAAGAGTCCGACAAAAAATAACTGGAAAGCAACCCTGTTGGTTTTAAATTGACCAAACTATTAACAAACTAATAACATCATTCAGATTGAACATGGTAATAGAGATAGTTTGCTCTTCTGAATGGCATTATTAATGATTATCTCAATATTATCAGTTATTTTTGTATTTCAGGATTTTCCACCAGAGTTTTTCCATAGTAAACTCACAAAAGTTGGCATGATTTGTTGAAATAATGATCTAATGTAATATATATTTTAAAGTTTTTTGATAAAAAGTTCGAGAATAAGAAAAGAACATTAGATGAAAACTTTTGTTTGCAATCATTAATTTCACAGATGACCAAAGAGAAGCAAGAGATAGCATGAGAAAGGGTAAAGGGTCCTAAGCAAAGAGTAATAGCTATGCTTTTTAGTCCTGAGTAAGATGAGGGCTGACTCTGGATCTCCCCTAAAGAACTGGTGTTGTTACCGAAAACCAACTAAGTCAAAATTAAAGCAGTTTTGGTATGAGTATAATTTGATAATTGAAAAAATAATAATTTTTATATATTATATTGTAAATTGACACGTTGTAGCGATAATGAAATCATGTATGATATATTTATGATATAGCAGTAACACTCATGGCACAATTTTCATTCTGTACAAAAATTATGATATGAGATTTTCAGAAACGTAAATTTAATGCTGATTATTACACAAAATTTATATAAGAAAAGTTTGCTGGAGCGATTCTGCGATTGCGATGATACTTTTTTTGATCTTTTGGCTTTCTGGTAAGCTGTTTATTTTATTTCATTTCAAATATTGAATTAAATTTTCAATTTTTCGCTTAATTTAGTGAAGATCTGAAAAGATAAAGGTCATCAAAAAAAAATGATGAAAAGGCCAATGCAGAAAAACTAAGCCTTAAAATAAATCTTACTGCAAACAGTGCACGGCTCTTTTGAGAATGTCCTTTGCTGTAGAAGTAATGCCTGGATGCGTTAAAAGATGTTGATTGTGACGATCTACGGTCCGGATGGATGGTAATGCGAAATGAGAACGATACATTCTGAAAGCTTGGCGATTTTTAGAATAAAGTTTGCTGGCAATGAGTTTGATGGATATGGTATGACTGCGACGATGAAATGTCTTTTTATGATTTTCAATGGCACTGCGGAAGAGAGAGTATGATTCAGATGGTACGCAATGCTTGACTTTGTGAAGATGTTGTTTGATGTAGTTTTCTGAAGGGTTATGCAATAGGCGACAATGAGCCCTCTTGAGAGCATGAAGCTCTTTTTTCGTGCGCTCCAATTCCGCTGTCAAATCTTTCAAGATGTAACATTGAGTTAATACTGATGATGTTGATGTAGTTGATGAGAATGAAGGCACTTCACATGAGAAATGATCTGATGGGAATGCAATAATTTCATCAGGCAGAGCATTATTCACTAGACGTCTGCGTCTGCAGTCTATAGAATACAAGATGGGTGAAAAATGACGAGAGCAAACATACACGTTGGCACAGTTATGACTATGAATATGTGGTAGAAGAGCAAACGATAACAAATCAATCCAGGCTTGGCACTTTTCTTGATCAGATGGAAATGAAAATAATGAAACCATTGTCAGTTTTTGATGAATTACAGTTTATGACAATACAATTCTGGGATAGACATTCAGAATATTTTCTGAAGCTATAAAATGATTAAGGGGATGCGTGATATCATTCCATTTCAAGATTCCATCATAACTGCCTTCTTTGAAATAAAGAGAGTACATCATGAGATCGTTCTAATCAGCTTAAAGATATGTGAAGCATCAAGAAGAAAACTATCGATTTGCTATTGATTTTAAATTTAGATGTAACAACATCGACACCAAGTGGCGCCCTAAGTAATCTATTTTTCGAATCTTCATAGCAAACAGTAGCTAAACACTCTTAGCTAATCTTTGCATATAATCCTATTTAGACTATTTTCAAGCGACATATTCAGTTAAAATTATACTGGGCGTGCAAACTCTATTTATGCTTTAAAAGCTTTGGTTTGGCAATTCTGACCGAAATTGTAGACCAAATAGATAACCAGACTTTTATATAAGTTGCTTTGCTAACACCATCTATCGTTTTTGGGGTAACAAGTTTTATCGATTATTTGACAGATCAAACCATCTAATATTTCAACTACAGGAATTTTCGGAATTTTTCGTTTTTTGCATTCAAACTCGAGAACTTACGTTGCAGTCGTGTGGAGCAAAATAATCATGGTTCACGGTTGATGTATGTCTTCGAAAAAGAGCTTCTTTTCAAGAGCTTTGAACTTCCTTCTACTAGTAAATAGCGAATCATAATAATTAGCTGTTAGGTATCTAGTATCAACGACAGTTCAGAATGAGACTTAAATTGTACCAGAATGGGTCTGACAATCTGTATACCAGTTTTTTGATTGATGATAGAATGTATAAAAAAGATCGAACGGTGAGCTTTCACACTGGAAGTAAGCATCAACAGTTTAAATCTGTCTGAAATGGATTTTACCCGAATGCAATAGCTAACTTCGTATTCACATGAATCAACTAACAAGTAGTCTCATGATGAGATAATGATCTGAGAATGCCATTCAAATAAATGAAAAGAATCGACGTTAAAGACTGATTACAGTTTATCACTCATCGATTGATAGGGTTGATTAAAGATGATCATTCAATTAATCTAAATCGGGATAACATCTCCTTTCTTTATATAAGATTGATTGGTTTCCATTTGAAATTCAAATCGATTCCAGCATTTAACCAGTAAACAACTCTTATTACCGTGAAAGAAGAGATTCATTCAAAAATGAAATTGGCCATCATCTTAACTGCCTGCCTTTTTGGGACTGTGTTTGCTCAAGAAGGGCTACCCGGTGGGTGGAATTCACTTTCTACTGACGATTCAACTGTTAACCAGTTAGCTATTAAAAGTGTTAATCACCACAACTCAGTCAACAACAGTGCCTATTACAAGAAACTTGTTAAAATCCAAGAAGCTCGATATCAAGTCGTCGCTGGATTCAAATATGAAATTAAATTTTTGATTGGCAAAACCGAATGCGCTAAAACTGGAAATTATACCGATTCATGTCAAGTCGCTGTTAATGTAAGTTTCGATTCTTATACTCATCCAAACAAGCTGACAAAAGTATTGAGGACTTGTTATTCATTTATTTTCTCTTCTCATTAACAGTCACCTACTGAACTATGTACTTATGTTTTCTGGATGCCTCCTGTTGATAAAGATCGAATTACTTCGTTCGATTGTGTTGCTACAAAGTAGTTTGAAGATCGTTTGATTCAAGCAGTTTATCAAGTCCACTTGAATAAAGTGAAGATGTTCTTGAAAAACATCTTACAATCAATTGTGAGGTTTTCATCAACTGATTGCTTCATCTCGTTCATCTGTTTTTATAATAATGTATTAGTATGGTTAATTTGAGGTGAAATTAATAAAAAATTAAAGCATTTAAATATTTTCCTGATTGTATTCGCAACTCAAATTGAATATATTATAATATAAACAAGTATCTATTGGTGTTAATTGTCATTGTCATTGGTAAAACCTTCTTCTCTCCTGGATTTAAAGGTTGACTTTTCTCGATTCCTCCATTTACTTTTTCAACGGCATATTCAAGATCTTTGAGAGTAACTGCTTTTCTTTTATATCTAGCCGATTTAAGGGCTGATTCATTGCACACATTAGCGATATCGGCTCCACTGAATCCAGGAGTTAAAGAGGTCAGACTTGCTGAGATAATTTCTGGTTTAATCGAAAGTTTTATGTCTTTCAAGTATTTCTCAAAAATTTCTTTTCTTTATTCGAGTGTAGGTAAATCTATGAGAATATGTCGATCAAATCTACCAGGTCGAAGTAGTGCTTTGTCCAGAACTTCAGCTATGTTTGTTGACGACAAAAGAATGGCATCTTTTTGGCCAGCCTTACCATCCATTTCAACTAGCAATCGATTTAGAGTTTGTTCCTCTTCTCCTGAAGTTTCGACTCGAGTCCCACTCCTTTTCCTCCCAATTATTAATACATCAATTGTTTCAATATAAACTGAGTGCTCTTTTGAGCTTCTTTGAGCCGATTCTTTGGTCAAAACCCGTAAAAAATGGCACTAAATCCACTTACTTATAGTTTAAGTGAAAAATTGAAAAAGGACCAGATTTACCCACAAAACAATTTATTAATTGAAGATCCAGTTGAAAGCAAAGCGCTTATTGAACATTGAATTTTCAAACTGAAGCTGAAATCATTCCGTGAAGCCTCTTATTACTTTGCTCTTTAATTTCACTGATATTTTTTCTGAGTGATAGTATTGATACTTTGTCGATAAGACTCCATACCAAAAAAAACGCACAATTTGATGATAACCTTTATGCTTGATAAAGATTCTATTTTATCAGTATCGCGAAACACTAATAGAAACAGCTGAACAAGGCTTGTTGACTTATTACAAAAAGTGTGAACTTAATTAATCAAATTGAAATTAAGACCAACCAAGGTTAACAAATCTATCGAAGAACGGGTTTATTCAGATCAACTTACATTACTTGTATTAACAATGCTTACGAAGTTGCTTTGATATCTGCTAATCTTAAATCGCAAATATAACTTTTTCCAGATCATGTACTTCCATCACATGTACTAAGAAAAATTTGAAAAATCATTATTCATGATCTTGAGCTGAGTCACATTGGAAAGCAGTAATCTTGATTTCTTTAGAACCAGGGTCTTCATGTAAATGTACGGTGCATATTGGAGGAAGTGTCTGTGAATAAGAAAATGAATGAATAACAAATCTCAACAGTTTGGTCATTTTGGTTAAATTTATTTTAAATGAGGCTAAAACTTACAGTTACGTTGATTTGACAAGCATCCGTGTACGGTTTAGATTTTGGACAATCAGTTTTTTGTATGTCCAATCTAAGCTCATATTCAATTCCAGACATCAATCTAGATTTAGCGGCTCTAATCTGGACCAGTTTATTGTAATACGAACTATTTTCCTTTGCGTTAATATCCACAACGGCTAGATCAGCTAACTTAATAACTGTTGGGTCATCGACAGGAAGCGGTTTCCATTCTGGCATAGGATGATTCTCAGCAAATACAGTTCCAAAAAGGCAGATAGTTAAGATGAAGAATTTCATTTTTGAAACAATCACTTTTTTCACAGGTAACAATAGTTGGTTTAATGATTTAAAGTTGAAATAGATTTGAATATTAAATTGAAAACAAGCTACTTTAAATAGAGAAAAATCTTGACATAGTTATCCGATTTCATTGAGAAAACAGATGATAAAGTTAAAACAAAACTGAGAAGAAACGAAAAATTGAAATGGATTTTGCTTTACCAACATAATGAAACTTGAAACTTATTAAAAAGACGGCAATCTAAAGATTGCAATGGAAATTTAAAGGCATAATTTTAAATGTTAAATGTGTCCGTTTCGCTAACAAGAATTGTCCCATAATGTTCTCGGTATGATAATTCCGACGTTGGTGTCAATTTTGTGATGCTAATCATAATCACTCTTTCTGCTATTTCCTGCCTCATTTGCTATATTATCAAGAGGTCCTTTTGAATTGAGATCGGATTCATTTGTAATCCTATCCTTTGTGTAGCCAATCTAAATTATATTCATTGAGAATATCTTCAAATGAACTCAAACAATCA